GACATACATGCTGAAGAATTTAGGGTTAAGTGTATCGATATCTATGGTTTACTTTCAAATGCCTAAAATGTAGGATGTATAAATAGATGGCTAGATTTCTGATTAAATATAGAAAAGCTCAATTGTACATCTGGGTAGTAGATTTACAATTGGTCATGGTAAAATTCTTGCAACTTTAATGTGTTTGAAAATTTCACTATAGCCGGGCATAGTGGCACATGCCTGGGATCCCAGCAGTCAAAAGGCTGAGGCAGGAGCCAAAGCCAGCCTGGGCTACACTGTGATTTCAAAGCCAGCCTGAACTACCTAGCAAGACCCTGACTCAAGAATAAAAACAAAGAAATTATAAAATGTGGGGGTGGGCTAAGTTGATTTCTGGTAAAACCAAAATAGCTTCTATTGAACCAGCTGTTTCTCAGATGAAATCTATAAGCTTAGGGAAAACTTTCTTTAAAACTCAACTATATAAAGACTGAAAGTGACCCAAAGCAGGCAGAAACCAGGGGTGAGTCAACTTCTGGAAGGAAAGGAGCATACTGGGTGAGCTTCCTGTTTTCTACTATTAGCCTGAAATCAAGTCCTTTTAGTCTGCACCGTGCAGAGCAGCAGACCTCTGCTGGAGACTCTAGTTTCACTGGCCCGAAGAACCAGAATGGGAAGTTCAGAGAAACCACAGCCTGTTGAGAGTGAAGGGGAAATGCCAGAAAAGAGAGAACCAGTTAGAAGATTCCAAAGTTCTGCATCCAAATTCCACTCAGATTTTTAGCTGACCATTGCGCCATGTCTTCACAGGTAAGGCTAAAAACTGAACTAAACATTAAATAAAACTGAAAGTTCAGTCCCTTAGTTACACTAGTATATTTCAAGTGCTCAGATGTCACCACCATGTTACACAGCATCCTATTGAATAGCACAGATATAAAATAATTGCAGTGAATGAGTTTGGTTTGGTCATCCAGTTAAAATGTAGAGATTGTCAGAAGTGATTTACCCTCCCCCAACAAAGGGCCCAGCTGTACCTGCTCATACACCCACACCCACACCCACACACGCAAAATCAGCCTTAAATACATAAAGATATGTTAAAATGAATGCATTGGAAAAGATATGCAAATGTCAAGTATGCTGTGGAAGCCACCAAACCGGCACATGCCTATACTCTCAGATATTGGTGTGGCCCACCATGCCTAGACATTCATGTGGCATTAAAAAAAAAAAAAAAAAAACTCAGAAAACTAAAAATAAAAATTAAAGGAAAAGCTATAAAGAGTTTCTGTGAAAAACTCAGATAGCAGCATATGTAATGATGACAAACTGTTAAGTCACACAGACATGCACACACACACACACAATACCTTAAAGCAAATAATCTGCTTTCATTTCTTGATTCAATAATGTACTCAGGTCCTGAACATTGCAATAAGACAAGAAAAAAAAAAGATCGATAAGAAGCAAAAATGTTTCCCATGCCATAATTATTTACACAGAAACTTAAAACAACTACAACTGAGTAAATTTACCAAGATTTCAGGACTCAAGTTAATTTGCAAAATTCATTTATATTTTTCTATACTACAACAAACAAATTTAAAATTTTTCAGTTCAATTTATAATAAGATCAAAGTAACAATACTTTAGAATAGATTTATGAAAGATACGCACGATCTTTGTATAAAAAATTGCATGTGAGACAAACTATGGAGAGAGATCTCACTTGTGAATTGTCAAGATGTCAATATTCTCCAAAATAGATGTAACACCATCCTAATCAAGATCACACAAACCTTCTTATGATGAAATTAAGCTAATTCTATGCTTTTTTATGGAAACAAAGATTTTATACCAAAAAAAAAAAAAAAGAAATCTTGAAAAGAGCAAAGTTAGAGGATGGTATTCCTGACTTCAAGACCTGCTATGAAACTACAGGAAATTAAATACTGTGGTATTAGCATAAGAGTGGAGAAATAATGAACAAAATATAGATTCTTGAAGTAAACTCTGATTTATTCCTGAAAGATTCCTAAAATTCCTGAGATTTCTGAAAGTCATTCAGGTTCCTGAAATAAATCCATACCTATTTCAACAAATAGCACTTGTATAACTGGATCACTACATGGATAAAATGAACTTCAACTCTAATCTCACATTGGTAAAGGGGAAAGAAACTCTCAACTTGTTAAATGTCTGATATGATGAGTTGATGTTCCCTAAAATTGAAGGATGAATTTTAGGAACAGTGGAGGTTACAAGCGGAGTATATTTATTGATGGAAAGTAAGCTGTCAGAGAGAGAGAGAAAAGGGGTCCCATATGTGTTGCCAAAGACCCTGCCTCTTCTAGGGATTTTTACAGAGTAAATCCCCTTGAGGTCCAAGGTGGGGAAAAATGGGAAATTTAAAGATAAGCATGAGGTGGGACAAAACTATGGGCAACCAATAAGATTATGAGCGTAATTGCTCAGGTAAAATTGATTAGGATCAAATAAGGAAGCTAGCCATAGAGCAAGTGGGCATGGATACAAAACAGGGCCTTTGCCTGTAGGGGGTTAGGTTAGTGGCTCCTTCTGGCTTCCTCAAGGTGATGGAGATCCATTTAGAATATCAATCCCTGATGATTATCCTTAGGAAGTATGTGGGTACATTCATTCCATCTTTTGTCTTGAGATCTGGCCCACAGCAAGAGATGCCTGTTTCCCCCACAATTACAAAATAGAATCTGGTCTTCTGCACTGGTTCCTGCACTGGCCTAGCCCGATCTGACTGCCTATAATATTTCTATCTAACTTAATTCCCTATAATGACATCACATAGACACAAACTTTAAAATGGGCAAAAGACTCAAATGTGAAACCTGGAAGAGGACAGAAAACCTATACAACCTTGAGGGGAGGTAATGATTTCTTAGTAGTACACAAAGGCCACCAAACATAGAAAATTAACATATTTGGCTTCCCAAAATTTAAAGCTTCTGTCAGAAAATATATTTAAGAAAATAATCAAGCCAGAGGTAGAAAATAGTAAGATATATATCTGAGGAACAGTATCCTACATACATAAAGAATTCCTAAAACTCAATGACAGGCACCAGGTTTTTAAATGAGTAAAATATTTCAACAGAGAAATATTACAAAAAAGATATATAAGTGACCAACAAACATATCAGGGAAATGCAAATTAAAACCCCAATGAAGTAATCCTACGTATTCATCAGAACACACTGTATTTAGAATTAAAATGACTGATACAGAAGACCATGGCATCTGGAACTATTACATATTATTGATTAGTACAGATATTCTGGGAAAAAAATGCCAGGCAGTTTCTTAAAAATCTAGGTACATAATTACCCTGTGTGCCAGCAATTCCACCTGTAAGTATTGAGCCAAGAGATAAACACAAGAATGTTCCTAACCATTTTATTTATGCTGACCAAAATTTCTAATACTCTTAGTTTCTATCAATAGGCAAGTGAGTAAAACAATAGTATATTCAAACAAAAATTGACTATAAAAGCAAGACTAAGACATATAATGTGGATAAACTTTTAAAAATGCTTTACACAAGACACCTCATGATTGTCATTATTTTGGAGATTTAAAAACAGTTCTATAAAGGCAAAATTAGAGAAAAAACTCAGGAGAGTGTTTTCTTCTGGGGGGTATGTAGGCGGAGATTTGCTGGAAAGTGACTTGCAGAATTCTGATCTGTTGGTGATATTTGGTTGGCTAAAATTAGCTTTTGGCTTGGCTATATTAGCGTTTGATTTCCAAGATGTACACTTATCAAACTGATCTACCATTAGGTAGATATACTTAATATGCGTGCATTTCATTGTATGCAATAATGTAAATAATTATACTCCAAAAGAAAACAATCCATAGATAGTGAACTTTAGATGTTAGAAGTAATGGGGATGGAAAGGAAAATGTCAAAGCTACAACTTTTTTTTCCCCCTAAATTGCAGATTGGAACCAGGGCTTTGAGCATGCTTGGCAAGAACTCTACTATAGAGCTTACATCTCCTTTTAAAATTCTGTTTTGAAACAATGCCTTGCTAAATTGCCCAGGCTGCCTTTAAACTTGTAATGCTTCGGTTTTGAGAGCACACACTTGTAACCCAGCACTCTGGGAGGCTGAGGCAAGATAACAGATAACAAATTCAAATGCAGCATAGACATTTTAACTCTTAGTGTGACTCTGTCTCAAGACACACACACACACACACACACACACACACACACACACACACACAGCTAGGGATGTAGCTCAGTCCGTGTTCTGGCTTCAGGTTCAATTCCCAGGTGGGGTGGGAATCCTACCGTCTCATCCTCCAGAGCAGCCCGGACAGGTGTCTTTAACTTGTTGAAATGCAACCTAACTGAATGTTTTGATGGATGAAAAAGAGAACAGATAGAGATTAAGTACAGAATAGTGCAATGTTAATTGTAGAATCGAAGTAGTGGGTATGTGGGGATCACTGTAAAATTTGTCTAACTTCTGGGTATATTTGAATTTTTCATAATAAAATATGACAAAATAACCCTGCAGTACTGACCCTGGGTATGGACATTCTCCTATATCGCTATTATACCAAAGCTCACCTCCAATAGGCTAGGTAAAATAAGGATGTCCGAAAGTATTGGAGCTAGAGGACTCCTTGCAGTACCCAGGCTTTTGATGAAACGCTCGCCAGAGCTGTATGCCATCAAAATCACTAAGCTGGACTCAGAGCTCTTCGATCTGTGTTCCTGATGAGTGTCGTGGGTGGGTGGATCTACTGGGATCACTCTCTCGGGATGCCAGGAAATTGCACGTAGCTCTCAGATGCCCACATATCCATTTCTTTGCACATCCATTTTCTTTTCCCTGATACCTAAAGCGGGTCATCTGGAGGGGCAGTGTGCGGCTGGGTACATCGTGGGGGCGAGAGGTGGCTAAAGGGGACAGAGCGCCCTCTCCTGGCGCCGCAGGGGCCCACGCAGGCCGGCTAAGCTTCCGACCCGCCTCCTCAACACCCACTCCCGGGATATGCGCACCGGGGTGAGAGCTTCGCCGCTCAGAGGTTGGCCTGTTGAGCGCTAGGGATCTGCTGGGGACACCAACGGCGGAGGCGGCCGAGCGCTCGGGAAGCAGGTGACGGGGTGGGGTCGCTGCGGCTGGCAGCAGCGCGGTTCCACCTGTTGCAGCGTCGGAGCGCGCAGACCTCCACTCCCCGCCCCATTTGGCAGGGCCCGGCAGAGCCTAGCCCGACCCAGCCTTGCCAAGCGAGGAGGGGGCCACGGGGTACTCCTGCCAGAGCACAGTGGAGTGCTCCCCGCGAGATGAGACTGGAGCACAAGTGACACTGAGAGGTGGGTCCCTGGGAGGGCGCGCCGGGTTTACTGTGGGTGGTCTGCGCAGGGTAGGGAGCGCACTCTGTGCACAGCCCCCGCCGCGCGAAAAACCCAAGGAACCTCAGGCAGCCAAGCTGGGTGGAAGCGATGGGGCCCTCAGGGGTCGCGGTCGCCAGGCCGCTGTCCTTGGGTGCTCTCTGGAGCTGGGTTGGCAGAGCCGACCCGTGGGGACAGGGGACACTCCCGCACAGGACTCCGAGGCCAAGGGCGCGCTGGCCCGGGCAAGGGGAGGGAGAGTTCCCGGGGAGCTGCGCCTAACTTCCTTTGCTCCCCTGTGCCACCCTTCCTTTCTGGTCTCTCCCCAGCCGGTCTGCTGCTGCTGGATGTCTCGCAGCGTGGGCGCCGGGCAGAAGGTCCGAGACCAGCGCAGCTCAGCTCAGCGCGGTACCTCGATCCTGCGCTAGCTCCGGACCCGCTGCTGCTGCTAAGCCCCCGCACTCCGGATGGTGACTCGAGAGACCCTTGATTCCAGGCGACGTCGCCACTAGGACGCACCGCCGCGGATCCATGTGGGGAGGAAACTCCGTAGCGAGCGGACACCCCCGCGTCCTAGCCATTGCGGTTTAAGAAGCGATGGCCGGAGACCGAGGCCACTGGGCTCCGCTTACCCACCGACTTCTGGGGACCCCTCCCCCTCGACCTTCGCTGCCCAGGAAGTTAAATCGGCCAGAGTCAGTGGAGACGAGGCGCCACGCCCCCTCCCCAATCTGAGCTCGCGCACCCTCTCTGCGGAGCAGAAGCAGCACTGCGCCCTGACGCTCACATCTTCAGTGTTAAGGAGAACTTCGGGGCGGGAGGGGGGATTGGTGGTGGCGGCGGCGACAAAGCGGATACGAAACCAGGAGGCTAGGCAGACGTGGGGAGCTGGGGCGGCGAGAGGGGCAGAGGCGGCAACCCAGGGACCGTCGCGGCCCGGGGGAGCTTGTGGCGGTCATGGGCGAGCCGGCCGTGGGGCGTCCAGGAGCCGGCTGAGCACCCTCCCCTGGGCGTGGGCGCGAGTCCACCGGAGCCCACCGCCGTCCCGTGAGGATCTGGCCTCGGGGCCGGGCCATGGCCGGCCGAGGTTGCAGCTGCACCCCAGGCCACTTGAACGAGGACAACGCGCGCTTCCTGCTGCTCGCCGCGCTCATCCTGCTCTACCTCTTGGGCGGCGCCGCGGTCTTCTCGGCGCTGGAGCTGGCGCACGAACGCCAGGCCAAGCAGCGCTGGGAGGAGCGCCTGGCCAACTTCAGCCGCAGCCACAACCTGAGCCGCGAAGAGCTGCGCGGCTTCCTCCGCCACTATGAGGAAGCCACCAGGGCTGGAATCCGCATGGACAACGTCCGCCCGCGCTGGGACTTCACTGGCGCCTTCTACTTCGTGGGTACTGTCGTGTCCACCATAGGTAAGTGGCCTCTACTTTTCCGGCTGGGCAGCAGCAAGCCTGTCAGCCTTCGGTTCATCCACGGGACACCCTGCCCGCCCTGTCTGCTGCCTGATCAACAGGTGTTAGTGCTTGCTGCTGTCCTAACCGTGGACCATGGGCTGAGCACCTGTGAGCTCCTTAGGCGGTGTAAGGAGGCCCCTCCCCAGATTTCCGTAGATGTTCGTTTTCACCACTCCAGGGGATTTGAGTGATCTTTAAATTGGAAAAGCTCTGCTCTAAGGATTTTCGGTCTAGTTATGGATACAGGGCTGAGTTCATGAACTCTGGAGAAAGTTTATAGTAACAGGAATCTATGGGCGTTTATGAAGGACTATGCCCAGTCGCTGGTCAGAGGGAAAACCCCTATTTATTTATTTATTTATTTATTTATTTATTTATTTATTCATACCAGGGATCCAACTCAATCTCCTGCTTGCCAGGCAGGCGCTTAAGCCACTGAGCTAAATTCCTGGCCCTGGAAAATCCCAATTTAAAAACAAACCTCTGTCCCTGACTTTATATTTGCAGAGAAAATCAGATAGAATTTCAGTAAGAACGCAAAAGTGTGAATGAGGCTGTGAAGGGTGAAAAAATGTTTGCTGCTCAGAAGAACCAGGGGAAAAGAAGCAACCTTTGGGCTGAACAAGTTAGTGTTTACCACGACTTGGGTTTGGGATCTAAAGCTAACGCACATTCTGCGTTAGGAGAGAATTGCTTGTGGGATTCCATGGGCTGGCTGATCTCGGTGTGCAACTGCAGGCAGAAACACGGATATGAGACCCAGGATTTCGAGGCAGATTTATTTATCTTGTTGGGCACTGATCAGGATCAGTCCCAGAATATCAGGCTCTGATCTCTGGTGGTCTACGGCTTATATGGGATAAGCAAGCAGGAGATATAGAGACAGAATGGCTTGTCAATTGGGAACTGGTTTATACAGTGTGCAGCATAATGACCAGCTCTACATCACAGTGGCCAGCCGTTTCTAAGAGACAGGAGCAACCGGAACTGTAACTATTACCTGGGCTACTAACAATCAAGTATACTGACAGGCAGGATTTTCTGCTACAAGGAGCAGCAGAAGGAAGACAAGCTAGAAAGGTCTGCTGGCTAAGGGGAGAGAGGAGGACCTTTACTTCCAGACTAAGGAAGCAGAACTTACCAGGAGGCAGCAGGAGCCACTGAGAATTTTGAGCAAAGATACCACCTCATTACCTTCAGTTATGCCTCTGCGCTCCAGAAAGGAAACAGTGGTGTGTGTATGTTTGCACTACATCCCTGAAGGCCGTTCACCTTGGAAGCTTAATCTAGTGGTTGGAGGGTAGAGACGTGCCAGAAATGCTTAGGATGGAGTCTGGGTGGCGATGGAATGGAAGTTTATACACAGAGAAGGCAAATGGCTTGCAGCCGCCAGAGCAAGAGAAGCCGCAGAAGCGCTCAGCCTTTGGCAGCAGCACAGGGTGTGTGCCGGGTGCTCCATAGCTGGGGCTCCTGCGCTTCTGAGAAGGGCTTGGCAGTGACAAGGAGGGGTGAGGCTCCCACGCATCCCCATGTTATGTACACCATCTGTGGGGAGGATGCAGCAGGCAGGAAGGGCCATCCCCAGGCTAGATTCCTCTCTGAAGAAGCCAGGGCTTCAGCTGGCCAGGGGGAGGGGCAGCGAGAGACCCGCCGTGATTGGGAACAGGTGGGCTTTATCTGAAGTGCTCTGTACAGAATGACCCCACTCACAACCCGCATCCCAGGCTGGTGTCCATGCCCAGCAGTGGGCCACAGTATCACACAGTAACTGGGTCTCTGGCAAGAAAATCTCAAGAGTAGTCTCAGTGATGAGAAGCCCTGGGCCCTGCAGGAGATAATAGAGGAGGAGTGTCCCCATGGTTCCCACCCCAAGCACAGTCCCTGCTGGACTCTCCAAGGGGTGTTTCAAAAATCCCTCCTCCTGTCACCTCCCACGTCTCAGCAGACAGCTCTAGAATAGAGGCTCAGGTGGTTCAGACTGATTAGGAGACATTATCTTGGTACTTACCTTGAGTCTGCTGTGTTTTGCTTAGTGAGTACAAGCTTTTATTTTTTTTACTAAGTTATATTTGCACTAGTTTTGATGGAAAATTGGGGGGACTAAATTCTCCCCACTACGAACCACTTCTTGATGCTCTCTGTGGATGTGGAAGTAGGGAAGAGCAAGGGTCTGTGTATGGACTGGTGACCATCGGAGTACTGGGAATTGGGAAGGCCATGGGCTGGTGGTCATTTAGGAACACAGGCTTTTAAGCTGCAAATACGATAATGTAGCAAGTGAAGTACAAGACGTGGCCACAGAGTCTTAGTTGGAACATTGGGTCCTACTACCTCAGTCACTTGGGCAAGTTTCTTAATCCTTTTGAGTCCTTTCCTTCAAGGAGTAGAATCTGGCACACTGTAGTTGTTGGTTAATCACTAGTCCTGCCCGCCCCCAACCCCCGAGACGTCTCTTAAGCCTTCCCTCTTTCTGGGGTTCCTTTGTGGGGCAATGAGCTTGCATAAAGCGATACACATTAAAAAGAACAAAGCATTATATGTGTGGGCTTATTTTTACTTCCTCATTCTTAACATTTCCTTTTTGAATTATTTTACTCCTTGCTATTATAACAGCACTTACTGTTCTTCATTAGTTATTTCAGCAGCTATGTGTACACCCATGTTCTTAGCAACATTATTCACATTAGCTGACAGGTGGAAACACCACAGGATAACAGCCCTCCAGCCTCCAGCTTCTGGGCTTTGGTGTTGCTAACAAGGTCAAGCCCCTCTGTGCTTTCCAACGTAAGACAAATGTCCAGGCTGGTGTGGAAACGAGATTGCACATTAGCCACTAGCTTCCTTGCCAGCCAAAAGTCAAGGATACCAAGAGGCAAGTTAACAAAGTATTATCCAGATGCAGGGATGTGCTAGAATTGGGCTGATAAGATGATCACAGCGCACGAGCATCTGAGAAGCTCAGACATGATGCTCAGTCCTGCCTTGCAATTACCAATCAAGGTCTATGTGCAGATTTTCAACAAGAGTTTTATTCCTTTTAGTTAAAAACAATTCTGCTGGTGCCCATTTGTCCCTGGGTGTGGTTCATGATAAGCAGTTGGATAACACTGCCCTGTGAGATTCTCAGGGGCTCAGCGCTGAGCAGGCAGGTGTGTGGTGTGGCCAGCTCTGTGTGGCATCTGGGTAGCACTGAACTGGCTATTGTTTGGAGGAATCCGTTTTCTCCATGTGGAAGCAAGGCTAAGCAGAGAGCTTTTGAAATCAAATTATAGGAGGCCCATGCAATAAAAAACTGGGAATCACTATTTTACTTTATCAAGTTATAAACCAATAGCCAGGATGAATAGCCATTCAGGAAAAAAGTAAAAAACATCCCAGCAATGCTAATAGATGTTTCACAGGTGTCAAGATTTAAATCACACCCCAAGTGACACTTTACATTTTGCCAAGTCTTTGTGCAAACCTTATGAGGATGCAGGGAAGTCCGTAATTTCTTCTTACAAATATGGAAACTGAGATATAGAAGATATAAATATCTTGCATAACACCAACAGCTCTAAAGTGACAGACTTAAAACTTAGTTTGTTTAGGGTTTGATGATAAAAAGAAATACATATTCATTTAGAAGACTAGTTGATGTTTTAGTTCTTTTTCTAGTGCTAATGACCTCATCACATAGACTGGAAAAAATTATAAAGAAAAGAGGTTTTTGTTCTGGTTCACATTTCTGGTTCAAGGTCAAGGTCCCTATCTGGTGATGGCCTCCTGCTGGTGGAATTTTTCCTGGGAGCAGAGGGTCATGTAGTGAGAGACAAGCAAATGTGTCTGTGTCCCTAGGTCTCTCATAAAGCCACCAGAATTCAGTCACAAGACCCCACCCTGATTTTATCTAATCCTGACCTCCTCCCAAACACCTCTCTAAGCAGCAGACTCAGATGATTTACACGCTCTTCATACCTCACGAACTCCACAATGAGTTTCATAGGAGACAAAACCATAGCAGATGTGGGCAAGTGTAAAAATGTAGAAAGTTACCCATAATTCTGCCATCCAACAAAAATCACTTGTTATTCCAGTGTATCATATTATATGGAACCTAAAGCGCTATTTTACCATGCCATTGGGAAAGAAAAACCGCCAGTTACATTCTAACACACTAGCAATGTAAGATGCGTCTCAATTTGGGAGATATTAAACTGTTGGGAAAAGATGCATCCTGCAGATCATTACAATGTGTTGTGTATGTTATTATTTTCCATACTACCATTAACAGATGGGCATATGGTTGTCATTAAGTACAAATGAAGCAAAATTTCTTTATACCAAAATTGACTATTTTTTAAATATTTACTAATGGTACTTTAAATACCTATTTTTTTATTTAAGGAGAAAAAGGAAAAAAACAGAAAAAGGGTACAAGTTATACAGAATTTCAGAAAAAATAAACAGTAGGAAATCACTAGTTAATAGATTACATATTGTTATCTTAGAAATAGTTGTTCAAGTTACAAAATTAAATTATATAAATTTAATATAAATTTTATATAAAATTAAAGCATATAAAGTGGACATTCAAACAGTGAAACTGGAAACAGTTTTGTTCAATGATCCAACAAAACTCAGTAATATGGTTATCTATCTTATACACTTAAATATATCTGCAGTTATTTTCTTTAGAGCACTTTCTTTTCCTTTCTTTTGTACAATGACAATTACACATTTTGGGTTTTATTACTCCCACAGTTCTTATTACTTTTTTTTGAAGAGAGTAAAAACCAAATGTGACATAGCAGAACAGAGTCAGTCAAATCAAAAGGATGGACATAATAGATAATGTAAAAACAAAATACTAGGTGATCAACAATGGTTACCATACTGCCTCTTACTATCTTAAAAAGAATTGCCTATATCATCAGTTATAATAAAATTGAACAAAACAGTAAAGAATAAAACCAAAA